GCATCGCAGTGCCGCATCACATGGCTTGCATCACCCGCCGCCCGGCCCACACATATTTTCTTTGTGTGAACAGGTATTAGGATATACCCCCCCCCTCCGGACTGACGGCCCTCTTTTCGTATTGCAATGTACCTGTTATTCTGTCCCACCGTCCATCCTACATGTGAATTCGTACCGTCCCAGGAAGGCCGGTGTCGCCCCCGCCCTTATCTTTTGCAACAAATGATACCATAAAAAAAAGACCCAATCAGTGGATGGTTTGATCACGAATGATATGGACATCGAGATCGGTTTTAGGACCGAAGGCGAAATCGAAAGCAGGATCGATAATGAGGACGATAGTAAGGCCGATCGTGAGACCGATAGTGAAGCCGAGTCAGTGCGATCGAAAGTGAGATCGATCGTGAGATCGCTCGTGGGATCTATACTTAGATCGATTGTGAGATCTTCAGTCAGATCGATTGTGAGATCGATCGTGAGATCGGTAGAGAGATTGGTAATGACTGCGATGGTAAGACAGATCGATAAGGAGATCGACAAGGAAACTGGGAACCTGGAAACCCGGGAACCCCGCCGCCTATACCGAAATCGGCCTGGAAGTAGCAACCGGGCGACCGGGAAACCGGAACTGGGAACCCGACAGCCCCGGAACTCGGCCGCCGACCGAAGTCGGCCAGGTATTGTCACCGAATCTGTCAATCTCCGCTAGGACCCTTTTCAGTGCAAGCGCTGATTGGGAAGTAATTCGCGCGCGCACTCGTTTATCAACAATCCTCAAATTACCCCTTGCCAGAACTGGGACGAAGTGCGCACAGGCGCTTCGTCACGCGCGCATGCCGAAATCTTCAAACAAACCGCAGATGTCGCAAGGATTTCAACATCGAACGTCCCGGAAACATATCAAACACACATGGCTTCGCATGTCGAATGGTCAGCAAAAACTTGCGCTCGGGCTCTCGCGAATTCTGAAGAAAACCATGAGTTGTTCAATACTTTTTGAATTGCGACCAAGCGGGCCTCTCGCGCGCGCATGTTGGAATTGTTCGAACGCCTGCTGTCGCACGCAAGAATCCCTTGCAGCAGCCAATGGGGACGAAGTGCACGCGTGTGCGTCGTCGCGCGCGCATGCCGAAATTCTTCAAACCTTAGGGTTCGTAAGGATTTCAGAATCGAGAGTTCCGAGAACATTGAGGAATAACATCTGGCTTTGCAGCATCAGTTTTCAAAAAAAGCCTGCCCACGCGCACTTGCGAATTCTGAAGAAATCCGCAGATTCTTCAACATTTCAATGAATTCTGCCAAACGGGCCTCCTGCGCTGCATGACGAAATCATCATTCGAACGCCCGTGCGCGCATGTTGAGGGAGCACGATCCGCATGCACTAATACAGTGCGACCGCGCTCGCGCGTCGGCCGCGCGCGCATGACGAACTCCTTCCAGAACCTTTTATCACTGACGCGAGGACGCCGTCATCGTCGTCGGCGTGATCAGCATCGGCGCCGTCACTGGCCTTGCCGTCCTCGTTGTCACCATCGTCACCAGCATCGCTACTAACATCACTGCGTCTATTGTTGCCGACGTTGCCATGATACCGTGCTCGTCGAAGTCGCCGACTCGCACTGAATTGCCTGTTGGGAAGTGCCTTGCGGTCAGCGCTATCGCGGCCGCGCTGGTCGCTCCAATTTAGCTGGCCGGTGCGCCCGCGAGCATGCGCGGGGTAGCGCGGCCGCAGAGACGCACCAGCCAGCACCAAACACTCCTCGCAATCGTCGCCGCATGCGTTTTGCAAACCAAGTTGCGGGTGGATGGATGGGATGATTGCGCGAGCACTGGAGTTGACAATTTCAAGTTCGGCAGGGTGAACTTTCTTTTCTAAAAAGAGAATAGACTCTACCCCCCCCCCCGGCGTTATCGGTCCCCCTTTCTGGTATGTAAAGCATATACGATTCTGACCACGTGTCCATCCAAAATTTGAATTTACTCTATCCCAGAAGGGGCAGGTATCGGCCCCCCTGAAGTTCCCCGGTAAAAATCAATGCGCGGGGACATGTTTGGTTCTAACATTTCACTTTTTCGCGAATCCCTTGGAAAAAAAAATGACGAAGTGCACACGCGCGCGTCGTCGCGCGCGCATGCCGAAATCCTTTAAAGACTTTCGGTGTCGGAAGGATATCGCAATCGAATTGTCAAAAAATATACGAAAACATCTGGTTTCGCAACACTGATTCAAAAAAACAAACTTACGCGCGAGCTCTTGCGAAATCTTGAGAAAACCATAAGTTTTTTTTTCTCCAGATTTTCGCAAAATGCTACCCAACGGGCTTCGCGCGCGCGCGTGTCGAAATCTGTCGAACGCCCTTGCGCGTGTGCCGTCGCGAGAACCCTTTGCAAAAAACGGGACGAAGTGCTGACGCGCGCGTCGTCGCGCGCGAATGCCGAAATCCTTCAAAACCCATCGACTTCGGAAGGATTTCAACATCGTGTGTCCAGAAAACCTACAAAAACACAAGGTTTCGCAACACGGATTTTCAACAAAAGCGTGCGCTCGCTCTTGCGTCGTCGTCGTCGTCGTCGTCGCCGTCCTTCCTCCTCCCGCGTCGTCGTCGTCGTCGTCGCCTACGTCGTCCTCTGTCTTTCCTCGTGTTCGTCGTCGTCGTCCTCTTTGACGTCGTGGTCGTTTCCGTCGTCGTTGTCGCCGTGGTCGTCCTTGCTCCCCCTCCCTCGTCGTCGTCGTCGTCCGTCGTCGGCGTCTCGTCGTCGTCCCTCCTATTTCGTCGCCGTCGTCGTCGTCGTCGTCGTCGTCGTCGTCGTCTTCCCTCCTCTCTCGTTGTCGTCGTCGGCGTCGCCGTCCTTCTTCGTCGTTCGCGTCGTCGCCGTCCTCCCTCCTCCCTCGTCGTTGTCGTCGTTGTCGTCGTTGTCGCCGTCGTCCTCCCTCTTCCCTCGTCGTCGTCTTCGTTGGCGACGTCGTCGTCGTTTTCGTCGTCGTTGTCGTCGTCGAAGTCGTCGGAGACGTCGTCGGCGTCGTCGTAGTCGTTGTCGTCGGTGTCGTCGTAGTCGGCCTTAAGAGGTTTTGCAAGCCAAGTTGCGGGTGGGTGGGTGGGATGTTTGCAAGAGCGTGGGATGTGTCAAATCATGGGTAAAAAAACAATTCTCCTTTCTAAAAGATTAATAGATTCTATCCCCCCCCCCCGGACTTATCGGGACCCCCGCGCGTGCTGCAAATTACATATGATTCTGACCACATGTCTATCCTAAATATGAATTCATACCATCCCAGCCAAGCCGGTATCCCCCCCCCTGCGGTTCCCTTGTAAAAAACACTATGCGGTGACATGTTTTGTTCTAACATATCACTTGTTCACGAATCCTTTGCAAAAAATGGGACGAAGTGCGCACGCGCGCGTCGTGGCGCGCGCATGCCGGAATCCTTCAAAGACTTTCGGTGTCGGAGAGATTTCAAAATTGAATTTCCAAAAACATATAAAAAAACACATGGTTTCGCAACACTGATTCAAAAAAAACTTACGCGCGAGCTCTTGCGAAATCTTAAGAAAACCATAGGTTTTCCAAGATTTTCACAAAATGCTACCAAACGGGCTTCGCGCGCGCGCATGTCGAAATCTGTCGAACGCTCTTGCGCGTGTGCCGTCGCGAGAATCCTTTGCAAAAAATGGGACGAAGTGCAGACGCGCGCGTCGTCGCGGGCGTATGCCGAAATCCATCAAAAACCTTCGGTTTCGGAAGAATGTCGAAATCGTGCGTCCAAAAAACTTACAAAAAACACAAGGTTTCGCAACCCGGGTTTTCAACAAAATTGTGCGCGCGCGCTCTTGCGTCGTCGTCGTCGTCGTCCTCCTCCCTTCTCCCTCGTCGTCGTCGTCGCCGTCGTCGTCTTCTGTCTTTCCTCGTCGTCTTTGGCGTCGTCGTCGTTTCCGTCGTCGTTGTCGCCGTGGTCGTCTTCTTCCTCCCTCGTTGTCTTCGTCCGTCTCCTTGTTGTCGTCGTCGTCGTCGTCGTCGTGGTCTTCACTCCTCCCTCGTCGTTATCCTCCTCCCTCGTCGTCGTCGTCCGTCGTCGGCGTCTCGTCGTCGTCCCTCCTATTTCGTCGCCGTCGTCGTCGTCTTCGTCGTCGTTGTCATCGTCGTCGTCTTCCCTCCTCCCTCGTCGTTGTCGTCGTCGGCGTCGCCGTCCTTCCTCCTTCTTCGTCGTTGGCGTCGTCGCCGTCTTCCCTCCTCCATCGTCGTTGTCGTCGTTGTCGCCGTCGTCGTTTTTTCTCCTCCCTCGTCGTCGTCTCCGTTGGCGACGTCGTCGTCGTCTTCGTCGTCGTCGTCGGCGTCGTTGTCGTCGTCGTCGGTGTCGTCGTCGTCGTTGTCGTCGTCGAAAACATTGGAGACGTCGTCGGTGTCGTCGCAGTCGCTGTCGGCGGCGCCGTCGTCGTCGATGTCGCTGTCGTCGTCGGCATCGGTGTCGTGGCCAAGTGCCACGCAGTACCTACCGTCACGGTCTTGTCTGAAGATGTCTTGCGACCAAGTTGCGGGTGGGAGGGTGGGATGTTTGCACGAGCAGTGGAGAGGACAGCTTCAAGACAGTCGAAGTGGATTGCACCACGTAGATTGCACCAGATAGATCGCCTGTCCAGAGCGCACGGGAGCCATTGTTTTGGGACCGTGCACCTTGGCACACTTTTTTCTGAGCTCTTGGGCTCCCGACGGCCGCACCGACGTCCGAGGACGACGTCTGACATCGCTGGCGTCGGCGACGACGGCGACGCCCGGCGACCACGACAACGACGACGACGGCACGACTCCCGACGACACGACGCCCGACGCCTCGACGGCGACGACGACAGCGATAGCGACGACGACGCCCGACGACGCCCGACGCGTCGACGACGACGACGGCGTCCGACGACGGCGGCGACGCCCGACGACGCTCGACGTGTCGCCGACGACGGCGCCCGGCGGCGCGGGCGCGCTGGCAGCGCCCGTCGGCGCGCCGCGAGGCCGAGAGGCGGGCGCGCCCGGACGCCCGGGCTCTCCGAGGAGGTCGCGCGCGTGGCCAGCGAGAGGGCCGCGAGGTCCCCGTGGATCGCTGCCGCCTGCCGAACGCCGTCGTCGTCGTCGTCGTCGTCGTCGTCGTCGTCGTCGTCGTCGTCGTCGTCGTCGTCGCCACGTTTTCGTTGTCGGCATCGTCGGCGGCGAGAGGTCCCCGGGGATCGCCGCCGCTTGCCGTACGCGGTCGTTGGCGCCGTCGTCGTGGCTACGTCGTCGCCACGAGCCGCGAGCGTGTGCGAGAGGGGGTACGTCAATGGAAGCGGAGCGAGCAGAATTTCGGAGTCCTAGAGATTGGCACCGACACCAGTATCGGCGGTTGCCTCCACCGAGGGGACGATGATGCTGATTCCGGCGGTGGTGGTGATACTAGGGCTTCTAGGTCCTAGGTGGCCGAGAGATTACCACAAGCACCGCACCAAGATCCAGGATCATCTTCCTTCGGTGGAGGCAAACCCTTGTGCCAATGGTAGCGCCAATTTTCAAACCCCCAAGGATGTGCAAAAGGATGCACATACGGGATGTCAGGCCCCCCAAACGGGGCCCACGTAGATGGGATCGGTGGATCGCGCCGCGTCGCCGATGAATCGGCGATGCGGCTCGATTCGAAACCCGAGTTTTCTATTCCATGGCGACGTCGCGGATTCATCGGTACTCGGGCCCAACATGGTGCGGACTCCAAAGCAGCAGAGGAGGAGGCCGAGGAAAACACAGGAGGGGCAGACGGACGTTGCGGCAGTGGAGGGCATGGGCGGGGAAGAGGGCTCGTCGTGCACCCCCTGGACCTCCGCGGCGCTTCTTGAGACCGTTCGGCTTCGGAATGAAATGGCATCCGCCAATTTCGGGGTAGATCCGGCCGCGGCGACGGAGAAGCCCTCAGGCCCCCCGTCCTCCTCCTCCTCCCCCTCCTCCTCCTCCTCCTCCTCGTCCTCCTCCTCCTCCTCCTCCTCCTCCTCCTCCTCCTCCCTCCTCCTCCTCCTCTCAGAAGAAGAAGAAGAAGAAGAAGACACGGGCCCCCAAAAGCCACGGAGTCGGCTCTGCGCCCGCGCGGCGCCCATGCGCGCCCGCCGTGGGCAGCCCGATGCCGGGCATCGTGGCCGCCCGCCCCCCTTTCTGGAGAGCCCCCGAGGCCACGATGTCCTGGAGGCCGGGTCTCCGCGAGAGCTGGGCGGGGCCTGTCCCTACTCCAGATTTCGTAATAAAAGGGAGGGGGTCTGGACCCTCCAAGACAAGCCATTTCAGACCCCCCCCCCGTGGGAGAACCCTCCAAAAGATCGTCCCCAGACCCCCCCAGACCCTCCAAGATAGCCTGGAAGAGACCCCCCCCCCGAAATGAGACCCGCCTCCCTTTATTACGAAATCTGGGCTACTACCCTCGTCGAAATTACCCTCAAAAGTTGCTGGCACGTCATTTCGATTTCGGCGCGCCCCTCAATGTCGGCACGCCGCCCCTTCGATGTCGGGGCGAGGGCAAATGTCAAAGATAGTCTGACCGAAGTGGGCTCGAAAGTTTGACGTCTACCGACATTGGAGGGGCGGCGCATGCAAGTACCCCGCACTCATCGATACTCGGCCCCAGATCTTCCGACAAGCAGTTCAACCACGTCAGACATTTTTGAGGTTATTTTTGACGAGGGTTGTAGAATTCGGGAGGAGAGAAGACACACAAGCACAATTCATCGTCGCTTCCCCCGGAGATAATGTGGGAAAATGTAGCAAGTGGGGGGGGACGACGGAAGCCCAGAATATGTGAGAAAAGATGGGGAGTCCTTTTGTTTGTGTGCATTTCTTTGTGTGTCTTTCGGCCCCTTCAAGAATGGTATTCAATCTGGCATGTCCGTCTACAGGAGGAAAAGTCAAGAATAGGCCAAACACTAGTGCGGGGAACAATTTCCGTGTTTTTGTTCCCTCTTGTGGTTATGGTGGAGCATTGCTTGGCCATTCTGTATTGTTCTTCCGAAATCCGCCTGTAGGAGGACCTGCCCGACTCAAGAGAATAGTAGACACATGATTGTGCGTGCTCTTTCGACCATGTTTGCATATAGTTTAACTCTTTTGAGTTGTTCTTCCAAACTTCGCCTGCAGGAGGACGTGCCCGACCTGATCCCTGCTCGGCACTCCCAACCACAATTTCTGTGGCAGAGTCCCCGCCTGCGGGTCCCCGACCACCTTGGGGCGCAGCCACCTCGGACGGGGCCAGGACGAGGGGAAATCCGTTCCGGAACGCTCCTCCCGAACGCTCTGAGAAGGCCGCGGCGCCCGAGACATCCCCCAGAATCGCCGGATCTCAGAGATTCTCGATGTATCTCGGAAGCTGGAACGTATACATTACTGGTGGCGTGCTGTTTTTTTCAATCTCAGGACTTTTTGAGGGCCGGGGACGACGTCGGGGTGGTGTGGTGTATATTTATGTTTCCGTGTCCCGAGGGAGCGACGGAAAACATATATTCCAGGGTCCCGTATACACCAGGCTCCGCTTGTCTGTGCAAGTGTCAGCGCAGGGCCGGAAAAGGGCCCCTATCTGGGGGGCCACATGCGAGCCCTTTCTGAGGGGAGGGGAGGGGGCAGGGGTAGGGAGGGTGGGGAGGGAACGATGAAAAAGGTATATTCCAGGGCCCCGGATGCACATGGATCCGCCTGCCTGTGCAAGTGCCAGCGCAGGGCCGGAAGAAAAAAAGCGTCGGCCGCCCGGCAGGCTCGGGACGAGGCAGGATTGCTCCGAGATCCTACGCCGCTCGGGCGTGTGAAGTTTGCTTTCCTCGGCGAAAACCCTCGAGGAGCATCTAGGATCGTCGAGCCAAAACCACGCACGACATCGGAACATGCGGGGGGAACGGACGTCCGAGCGACGGCGAGGGGCGCTCTCAGAGGCGCGGCGGCTCGCTCTGGCAGGGCCGCGACGCTTGCCGTCCTCTGTATTTTCAGAGCCAGATCTGGCCCTAACAACAGCGTGTTCGTGAAGCCAGATCTGGGCTCAAAGAGTTATCATAGCGTGTCTTTGAAGCCAGAGCCGGCTTTAAGCCTTGCGCGTCTTGAAGCCGGTCCCGCCTTAAAGATGCATGTCTTGAAGCCGGCTCCGGCTTCAAGCGGCCCGCGGGCCCGCCCGTCGGGGCCCGCCTGCCCATGCACCCCCGGGGCTCCGCCTGCCCGACACCTCCCCGCCGGGGCCTGCCGGCTCGCTGCAGCGTGGATGCCCGCCCGCCCGCTTCGCTGCCCCGCCGGCCCGCCCTGCCCGCTGTGCCCGCTGTGTTCCAGCTGGGTAGTCGAAGGCCAGACTGTCAGATTGGATTGGGCCCCAAGGGCCAATCTGGCCTGGCCAGACTGGATGATTTGGGTTATTCGCCGGACTGGATTCGCGTTGGCTCCCTCGCCAGACTGCCCCCGTTTGTCAGAGTGGGCCTGCCAGATTGGCGCCAGATTGGCGCCAGATTGGCTTCGACTACCCAGTCAAGTCGGGCATGTCCCTCGACAGGAGGATCATTCAAAAAGAATCAACAGCAATAATCAGGGGACGATTTTACGAATATTTACACATAGGGGGGTCTTATGACGTTTTCCATTTTGGCTATTCTCAGTTATTCGTCAAACATCCGCCTGTAGGAGGACACGCCCGACCTAACCGCTATGTCTCCGCTTGCCCGGCCCCCTGGCTCTCAGGGGCCCCCGGCTCGTGCTCATTTCCGCACCCGCTGGCGGCGCGGCGCAGAGGGCCGCGCTCCACTGCTCGCAGAGCGCCTACTCGCAAACGTGGAAGAACCATGTCTTCCTTCTTGCGTGATGCATCGCCTACCTCCCCCGGCGGATCCAGGCCACGTGCGAGCAGTTACTTGTGCGAGCAGTGGAACGCGCTTGTCTGTTCCCCCCTCCTCCTAGATCCTACCCTCCTCCTGCCTTCGTCTCCCAGACATGCGACGTCCAGATTTTTTCAGGACGGCGTCCCTGGAAGTCCCGACTCTTTCCCTGGGACCCGGTTCTCATCCTGCGTCGTTTTGTTGACGGCCCCGTGGCCCAGCGAGGGCCCCCCGAGGCCGAAAGCCAGCAAAAGCCCTCCGTCCGTTTTTTTTTTTCTCACGGCGCGATCCTGTCTGGGCGCGCACCTGGACCAGAAGCGCAGCGCCCCCCCCTCTCCCTCCCCCTGCCCTGCCCTCCTCTCATGCTTTCGTCTCTCGCGCCCCTGGCCCGAGGCGTGGCGGCGGGGCGGGGCAGCCAGGGACCCACCCCACTCCCCCGCAGTTGGCCCGCAGGAGGTGCGCCGGCGCCCAGGGGGACCTCCCCCCAGACATGATCGCGTCGTGAAAAAAATCAATCAGGACGACAGTGTTTGGCCATGTGCGGCCTCGGGGGGCCCTCGCCAGGCCTGGGGACCGCCAAAACGCGACCCAGGATGAACACAATCGGTCCCGGGGAAGGCGTTTGGGACCTCCCGGGACGCCGCCCCGAAAGAGTCAGGACGTCGCACGTCGGGGCCTCGAGCTCCCCCGGGGAGGGGCCTCGGTGCCCTCGGTGCCCTCGGTGCCCCCGGTCCTGCAGCGGCACCCCGGGCGACCGCGAGCTCGGCAGCGAGGGGCCCCGGGGCCTCGGGGCCCTCGGGGGCCTCGAGCTCGCAAGCGCCACCCCCCCCCAGGGGAGGGCCGTCGGCCCTCGAGTCCTCGGCCCTCGGCCTCCGATGCCGTCCGATCCCGAAGCGGCCCCCCCCCCCCGAGGAGCCTCGAGCCCTCGAGCCTCGAGCCTGCCACGGCCCCCCAGAGGAGCCTCGAGTCCCCGAGTGTCTTCGAGCGGCCACCCAGAGGAGCCTCGACTCCTCGGTGCCCTCGAGCGTCGAGGGGGCGCCTCGAATCCTCGATGCTCTCGAGCGTCGAGGGGGCGCAGGGGGGGGGCTCTCTGGGCCGAGGGCGGCGTGCGGCAGCGGGGCGCAGCAGCCTCTGGCGCGATCCCACCCCCCCGCACCCCGCAGTTTGCCCGCAGGAGGGGCGCCGGCGGCCCGGGGGACCTGCAGCTGAGCCTGCAGGAGCGCCGGACTTGCCAGGTCTCCGTAAGTGGTCGTCGTCATTGTCGCCGTCGCCGCAAGTGGTCGTCGTCATTGTCGTCGTCGTCGTCGTCCTCGTAGTCGTCGTCGTCCTCGTCGTCGTCGTCGTCGTCGTCGTCCTCGTCGTCGTCCTCGTCGTCGTCGTCGTCGTCGTCGTCGTCGTCGTCGTCGGCCTCCTCGTCGTCGTCGTCGTCAATTTGGTTTGCAAGGCGCGTTCCTAGCGTTTCTCGTCGCCACGGCTGGACAGAATTTTGCCCGGATCCAGCCCTGGAGGAGGCTTCGGGAATTAATGCTGAGCGCATTCTGCAACGCCGTGATCGTTATCCTGGGGAGTTGCTGCAGGTTTCCGGCGGTGCTCGGGGGCTCTGAGGCCCAGAGTCGGGGGCCGCTGAAGATGCCCCTGGCCCAGGGTGCCCCCAGCTCCTCGCCCCACTCTGGAGCCCCCTGGGGCCCTAGGGGTGATCTGGAGGCCTTGGGTGAAGTCGGGCATGTTCTTCAGCAGGAAAAATAGCCAAGAACATTCCAGAAATAGTCTGGGGACGATGCATCGTGCTCTTTGACTATTCTTGTTTTGTTCTGATTATATGTAAGTTTTCTTGCAAAATCCGCCCATCGGATTAAGTCGGACCTGTCCCTCTACAGGAGGAATGTTCAAACATAGTTTTCAATAAAGTATGGGGACCATGTTTGAGCACGTTTCAGTATTATTGAGATTGTTTGGGGCATTTCCCAATCATCTTGTGGTGCTGAGTCCTCGTTTTGAAGAGACGGTCCCCGCGTTCCTCCTCCTTCCTTCTCCCTCCTCCCCTCCTCTCATCATCATCATCATCACCATCATCATCATCACCATCATCATCATCATCATCATCATCACCATCAGCAGCAGCACCATCATCATCGTCATCATCGTCGTCATCATCATCAACAACAACAACAGCAACATTAGCTTCATCAACATCATCACACGTTTCGTTGCCCCATATGGAGCTCCACCGAAGGTCCTAATGGCTCGGTTGGCATGCGTCTCCCCCACCCAGTACAGCGCTTCGCGGCCCCACGGGGAGCGCCACCGGGGGTCCCCGTGGCGCAGTCCGCATGCGGCCCCCCCACCCCGTACAGCGTTTCGTGGCCCCATAGGAGCTCCGCCGAAGGTCCCAGTGGCACAGTCCGCATGCGTCCCCGCCATTCATTTCGGCCCACCCCTCACACGTTTCGGGGCCCCATAGGTGCTCCGCCGAAGGTCCCAGTGGCACAGTCCGCATGCGTACCCGCCATTCAGTTCGGCCCACCCCTCACACGTTTCGTGGCCCCGCAGGAGCTCCGCCGAAAGTCCCAGTGGCACAGTCCGCACGCGTCCCCGCCACTCATTTCGGCACACCCCTTACACGTTTCGTGGCCCCATAGGGGCTCCGCCGAAGGTCCCAGTTGCACAGTCCGCATGCGTCCCCGCCATTCATTTCGGCCCACCCCTCACTCGTTTCGTTGCCCCATAGAAGTTCCGCCGAAGGTCCCAGTGGCACAGTCCGCATGCGTCCCCGCCGTTTATTTCGGCCCACCCCTCACACGTTTCGTGGCCCCACAGGAGCTCCGCCGAAGGTCACAGTGGCACAGTCCGCATGCGTCCCCGCCATTCATTTTAGTACGCCCCTTTCACGTTTCGTGGCCCCATAGGGAGCTCCGCCGAAGGTCCCGGTGGCACAGTCCGCATGCGTCCCCGCCACTTATTTCGGCACACCCCTCACTCGTTTCGTGGCCCCATAGGAGTTCCGCTGAAGGTCCCAGTGGCACAGTCCGCATGCGTCCCCGCCGTTTATTTCGGCACACCCCTCACACGTTTCGTGGCCCCATATGGAGCTCCACCGAAGGTCCCCGTGGCGCAGTCCGCATGCGCCTCCCTCGCCCAGTACAGCGTTTCGTGGCCCCATATAGAGCCCCACCGAAGGTCCCCGTGGCGCAGTCCGCATGCGTCTCCCTCACCCAGCACAGCGCTCCGTGGCCCCATAGGGAGCTCCACCGAAGGTCCCCGTGGCGCAGTCCATATAAGCTTTTGCGCCTCGAGAACATCAATCTTTCAATCCCCCCATACGGAGGCCCACCGAAGCTCCACCGGAGATCGGGGCGACGTCGACAACGCCGAGAGAGACGGGGAGAAGAGGATCTATCTGAAGCGCTTGCCGCTGGGGTTCTGGGTGCGCATGGAGAAGTACGCGAGCGCGCCCTTCGTGGGCGACCTCAAGCGCCACGACGAGAGTCTCGGGTGACCTCACGGGCCCGCTGGTGTTCATCGAGCCTCGCACGTCGGAGCCGTTCACTTTCCGCACCTTCAGGAGGAGGACAAGGACAAGGAGGGGGAGGAGGAGGAGGAGGGGGAGAAGGAGGAGGGGAGGAGAAGGAGGAGGAGGAGGACTAGGGGGAGGAGGGAAGGAAAGGCCGTACCTCATGCGCCTTTCTCTCGACAGGAGGTGTGGATTTGCGCCCGTCCCTTGGTCAGCGACGGCCCGGCGAGGAGGCCCCCCGCCCCGGCCCAGACCGCCCCCTCCTTGTCCCAGACTCCGAAGGTTTGGAGGCCTCCATCGCCTTATACTTGAGTCGGGCCTGTCCCTCTACAGGAGGATTATTCAGAAAAGGTGAGAGAATAGTCTGGGGACTATTTTTCGATGTTGCTTTCATTAATCGGGAGCGCGTGTTTATTTTAAACAAAAGAATCGCCCAACATCCAGCCTGTAGGGGGACATGCCCGACCTAACCTTAGAGTGGCTTTTTTCCACGCGAGGACCCCAACTTCCCCAGGGCCGGCGTTTCATCCTGGGTCTTTTTTCGGAGGTTTCCGAAGCCTCCTGGCGAGGAACACCGGCGAGGGGTTCCCGCCTCGATGTTTCAGTGCGTTGGGCTTGCCGCCAGAAGCCTGCGCTGCAATGCAGGCTTCCGGCGGCCGATCAGGACGATTCTGGCACCCCCCGAACGCTCTCCACAAGGCACAGCGGCCAGAAAACATTTCGCTGGCGCGAGAAACCCGGCTAGCTAACGAAAACGCCCGAAGACCCCATCAGGGCCGTGCGTAACAAGGAGGAACGGGAGCGAGAAAGGGGTCCACTCGGTCTGGCCAGGGTTTCCCTCGGGCAGGCCACTTTCGTTCTGGCAGCGCTTCGATACCGAACTCGTCGCCGATCATGCAAGCCGCGGTCCTGTTAGCATCCCCGATTGCGGCGATCCTCCTGCTCGTGCAGGGCATATTAAACGCATCCGTCATCTACGTCCGCGGAGGGAAACAATAGAGGCAGGCACGCGCGGCAGGACAGCTCCAACTCGTTCGTCTTCCCTCCCTCATGGAATTCTTTTTACAGACGCTCGGAAAGTGCGAGGGGGCCGCCCACAGGACCCCGACACTGAGGTTCTCCGAGCCGCGCTGGTTGCGGATGCAGGGCAGAGCTCGCCGAGAGGGCGATACCTTCACGGCCGGGCTGCGGATCATTCTGTCGAGCTACCTCCGTTGCCCCAGATGCATTTGCTCCTCCTCCTCCTCCTCCTCCTCCTCCTCCTCCTCCTCCTCCTCGTCCTCCTCCTTTTCGTCCTCCTCCTCCTCCTCCTCCTCCTCCTCCTCCTCCTCCTCCTCCTCCTCCTCCTCTTCCTCCTCCTCCCGCACCACACCTGCCCCCTGCAGCACCGCAGCGACGGCTTGTTTCAGCGGCGCGTCCACCCCAGATCAGCGCCCTCGGCGCCGCCTGGTGAGTTCCCACAGCCGCCCAGAGGCGCGAGTCGATGTGCGGTGGCGCTTGCGCCGCCGCCGCCGCCGCCGCGTCGGCGAGCGTGGGGTGGCATGGCGGCCGCACCGCTGCCGCGAGCGCGCAGGGGCGCACAGGGGCTCCAGCGGCTCTAGCAGTTACTGCTCTCTCCCCGCTCGCTCGTTGCCGCCGCCGGCTGCCGCCGACGCCGCCCCGCAGCAATCTAGTACGGATCGAATCAGGAGTGCGCGCTATCCGCGCGCGTGGGAAACAGCGACGTGAGGGAGTCGTGAATTTCTTTCCCCTTATCATTTCTATGCCCACTCTTCCTGTACATCCATATTACAGCTTCGCGATTCCATCATGAGCCGAGTGCACGGCTCACCAGGCCTGCGGCACCCCCCAGCTCACTGCACCCCGTTGGGCGGCAGGAGAGTGGTGCGCCCCGTGCTGCAAATACCCCAGAACTATCGTCCAGCTTCATCATGAGCTGACCGTCGCCTCTCCCCGTGTCCTCACTCCTCGTTGCGACCCTTCGCTCTGCACGTGCAGAGAGCGGGCCGGGATTTTTGGTCAAAGTGTTCCCCGCCTCTTCTGCCCATCCTTTTCCTCTCCCTCTTCGAGTCTGAGAGAAAGGTCGGGCGGCGGGTAGACTGGAGACTAGGGCGGCTCTGGTGCAACAAAGGAAGCCGCAGATCCAATGTGTCGTCGGTCAGTCCCTCGTCGTGTCGATGTACCCTGACAGGTTCCACTGCACCATAGGCCGCCGTCCCGTTGCCTGGGGGGGTCGCTGCCCGCCCGGCCTCCCCGCCCGCTGGCCCCTTGCCCGTGACTGTCCAGGCCAGGTACGTCAAGCGTGGAGGTGGGCTTACGCCACGAGCCTCCGCGGGGGCTGCCCAACCAGTGCCCGTGTGCATGTTTCTCGGCAGTCTCGTGGTTGTATTTTCGGGCGCGGTGGATCGGATTCGGCATTGCAATACTTCCTGCGCCCCTGCCTTCGACACCACGTCGCCATGCGTTGGGTGTGGTTCGTCTTTCCGTTCCTTCGGATCCCCTCCGCAAGCTTGGCCTCGGGAGGCCCTCGGATTTTGGGTCGGAAAACTTGCGAGATCTCGGGGTTCCAGGTTGTTGAGGCCACGGCCCTGGTTCTCGCATGTACCATAAGAGCAAGAATCTGATCCCCACCCACTCTTACCGCGCATGCGCACCAGCCACGCAGGTCACCGCTGCTGCGAGGCTTGCCATACTTGACGTGGGATTCGCCCTCTGGGTACGTTCGCTCCTTTTCCTTCTCCTCCTCTTCTGGTTGATCGGTCGGTCGGGCTTAAGGCTTGAGGTTCGTAGCCTATACGCAGGTGTGAGACGAGATAGAGCGGAGACGGAGAGGCACCATATTAGGCGACGAGGGACCCCAGGGACCCCCGAAACACCCCCAGAACACCCCCCGAGGCCCAGGCCAACGCCCCCCCCCCAAAACGGGGGACGCAAAGAGGACGACGGCGCGGAGGAAGAGGAGGAGGAGGAGGAGCAGGAGGAGGAGGAGGAGGCCCCAGGGGGTGGGGGAGCGTAGGCCAAGGTCCCACCAGCCCCCCGAGAGGAGCACAGGAGGGCCCAGCCGCGGACACGGCACCACAAAGATGGGCCACGTCCGGCAACGACGCCCTCCGCAGCCGAAGCTCAGGTCAAGAGCGAGGGACGTGGTCCGCTCTGGAGAGCTGTCCCCAATGCCTCCCACAGCAAAAACAAATTACCAGCCTCGAACTTATCCCTATCCCTAAGATTGACACGCCAAAAGGCGATGACAACCTTAGG